GAGGCAATGTGTTCAACCTTCAGCTGCTCGCGCTGCACTAGCTCACGAAGAAAGTAATGACGGATCTCAATGTGCTTGGTGCGGCTGTGGAAGACTGGGTCCTTGGTGAGATGAATGGTGCTCTTGTTGTCACACCAAAGCGTTGGGGTTGGTTGAGGATATCCGAGTTCTGCCAGCAGGAAGGAGAGCCAACGGGCCTCCTGGGCAGCCATGGTCCTGGCGTACAGCTCTGCCTCACAGGGCGACTGTGAGACTGAGGACGATCGAGTGGAGCGCCAACTCACAACCCCGCTGCCAAGGGTAAAGCAATACCCCTGAGAAGCGCGCCGATCACTCTGGTCATCAGCGTATGACGAGTCACTGTACCCCTCAAGGCGAATAGGGGAAGAGCCGCCAAGAGTGAGCACATAATCCTGTGTGCCTTTGAGATAGCGAAGGACCCGCTTGGCGCCAGACCAGTGGTGGTGGGTGAAGCGACCAGATGCAACGTAGCGAGACAGTACACTGACTGGGTAGGCCAAGTCTGGCCGAGTGCACATCATCGCGTACATGAGGGATCCAACGAGCTCGGGGTATGGCTCGTCACAGGGCTCAGGTGAGGAAACAGACGGTGCAGTGAGCCGGTGCTGCAGAGAGAGTGGGGTAGGCATTGGTGCGGCTTCCTGCATCTTGAACCGCGTCAGGATGTAAAACTTTTGCGGGAGGGTGATGGTGCGGGCCGTGCGATCACGTGTAATTTCCATGCCCAAATAGTTCGTCAGCTTCCCAAGATCTTTCATGGCTAGCTTCTCCCCAAGTGCGGTTTTGACTGCTGCCAACTCAGCCTGATCCTTGGTGACAACGATCATGTCATCGACATAAACCAAGATGAAGAAGCGGGATGGTGTAGCTCGGATGAAGAGACTGGGGTCAGAGGTGGATGGGTGAAATTCGAGGGACCCTAAGGTGCTCTTTAGCTTGTTGTGCCATTCCCGGGGTGCTTGCTTGAGGCCATACACTGGCCGATTCAGCTTCCATACAGTGCCTGGTGGAAAGGGAGCTGGAAATCCTTCGGGTCGTTCCATAACGATCTCCTCTCGAAGGATCCCTTGAAGAAATGCAGACGACACATCCATGCAATCAACCTCCATGTCATCCCGAGCGGCAACATCGAGAAGGGTGCGTAGTGTGGGGGGTTTGGCGGTAGTAGGTTTTGAGAGGAGGAGGCTCGGAAGGAGGAGTGGAAGCAGGATCAGGAGCCAGAGCGGGAGGGGAGGAGGGAGGGGGAGCCAGTGGGGGATGGGAGGGGGAGGGAAGGAGCGGAGGAGACTGCGTGGTGCAGGAGGGGGAAGTGGGTGGTGGTGGGTCAGAGACGGTGGAGAGAGCGGGAAGAGGAGGAGATGGAGTGTCGGGAGGAGGAAGGCTGTCAAAGTCAGCCCAAGTAAGAGGAGGAGAGGGGGAAGCCGTGGAGGAAGAGTAGAACGGGTGAGACTCATCAAAGAACACGTCCCGACTGCGATAAAGCTTGTTGGTGGAAGGATGGAGGAAGAGATAGTCTGGGGAGTATGAGTTGTGCCCGAGGTACACGCACGTGACTGTTTTGGGAGCAAGTTTGCCGTCAGCTGCACGGCAGGCTTGGGAGTTGAGGAGGACATAGAAAGTGCACCCCCATACGCGCAGAGGGCGGACAGACAGCTTTTGCCCCGTCCACAGCTCAGCGGGGGTGGTGTGGGTGTGGTGAGGATGAGGATGAAGATTGTGGAGGGCGGCAGCATGGAGCATGGCGTACCCCCAGAGAGAGGGAGGGGCGGAGGCGTGAGTGAGGAGGCAGCGAGCAATCTGCACCAAGATGCGGTTCCGGCTCTTAGCAACACCGTTCTGTTGAGGACTGTCTGGGAGAGTGAAGGTCTGAAGGATACCCTCTGTAGAGCAAAAAGCTTTGAGAGTGTTGTTGCGGAATTCACCGCCACCGTCAGAGTGAAGAAACTTGATTGTAGTTTTGAAGTGGTTATGAGCCTGCCGGGCCCATTCCATGATGACGGCTGGGGCTTCTGACTTGGAGGTGAGAAGGTGGACAGACACATAGCGGGAATAGTCATCAATGATGACAAGGAAGTAGAAGTGTCCGCCACGAGAACGAACAGGAGCTGGACCCCAAAGGTCCATGTGCACGCGATCGAGAGGTGCAGTTGAGATGGACTCAGTGGGGGGATGGGGCTGTTCACGAAGCTTGCTCCGTGCACAGTCAAGGCAAGGCGGCCCTAGGTTGGAGGAAGGTGAGGGAAGGGAGGCTGGAAGTCCATGAAGGAGCTGTTTTGTGGTAAGGTCTGAAAGTGCGCGGAAGTTGATGTGGCCGAGGCGGTGATGAAATAGCATAGTTTTGTCGGAAAGGAGACGGCAGTGACAGGTGGATGCGTCGGAAGAAGGGAGCGGAAGGTTGGTGAGCGAGCATGTTTGAATGGGAGGTACAACGAGTGTGTAGAGGTTGTTGGAGTTTAGGGTGAAGCGGGCAAGATGGATGTGGGTTTTAGCGTCAAATAGGTCACAGTAGTCAACATCATTGAGAAAGATAGTGATCACCCCTGCATGTTGGATCTCACGCTGTGCAAGGAGGTTGTAGCGGAGGGTTGGGGCACAGATGCCAGTGACTGTGCCGGATGGGAAGGCAGGACAAGGAACTGTGGAAGACCCATGACATTGGATGGAGAAGCTAGAATCGGCTCCAAGGAGTGGGGTGGGAGCCTGGTAGGGAACGAATGCGGTTTGGTCTTTGAGCACTGTGTGGGTGGCACCACTGTCTAGTATGAACTCGATCCCCTGTGTGTTTGAAACACCGATGTACTGCGACCTCTTCTCATTAATAATACCAGCACCAGAGAACAACAGATTGAGGCGAACATCAGATGGGTCGCTAGCAAATGCCTGAGCATGTTCCTCCACTGCCTCGACCTGGTTCACGCGACGGGGTGGGGCCCAGTTGGGAGGACGCTTGTTGGTGGAGACACCGTGGACGTCATACCACTCGTGATCTCGCTTCTTGAAGCAAGTTGCCTCAGGGTGGTTGGTGCCTCCACATTTCTGCCCTACACGTGGACCCTTCCTAATGATGTAGGGGCATGGGGGAAACGAGTTGCGCCTTGGTCCCTGCTGGGAGCGGAATGGGATACCAGGGGTGTAGCGCACAGCATTGACGGATGCTTGTGCCGCAAGGTCCTCTTCAGCAAAGAGAAGGGCCGATGCGACTTTCTCGAAAGTGAGTTCCTTGGTGGGGAGTTGCTTGAGCATAGAACTGGTGACATTGTAGGCCGGGGTAAGACCTACGAGTAGCCCAGCTGCAGGTGCCTGCTCGAGGAAGGTGATCCCGATATCCTTGAGTTCCTCGTGGATGTTACGAATTTCAGAAATGTAGTCCGCCATGCCCGGGCATTCTTCAAGGCGGATTTGGAACATTCGAGGGATGAGGATTGCAACTCCCACTGCGGTCTTGTCATGGAAACGGTCCTGGAGGTACTTCCAAATCTCATGAGCGGAACGAAAGGTGCGGTAGGATCTGACAAGTTCAACCGGAGTGGTGGTGATGAAAACCCTAATAACTGCCGCATCCGCCTGCTCCCACACACTGAAGTCGGTCTCATACTTGGTGGTCTTAGCCTCAAATGCGGTCTTGGCTGCGGCAGTGGCTCCTTCGCCAAGAGGATCGGGAGGGAGAGGCATCTTTCCCTTGCCGCGGTTGAGAAGGATGTCCTTGAGGCAAATCCCCTTCTGCTCTGTGCTAAGGAGGTGCTTCTCCACTCCATAGCACCATTCCCCAAAGTTGGTGCTCGTACCATTGGGAGCGAGATTGAAAACAATGAGATTTCCGACGAGGGTGGAAGTTGAAGTCGCCATTCGCGCGGAGCGCAGCGCTAAAGTCTCCGATACGTAGCGGAGCGAAGCGCGGCACCCTTGGAAATTAAGGAAGTCCGAAACGCGATTTCGGCAATAGAAAGCCCAGATTTTGATCTGCTACACTGCTTCGCCGATGCCCCCCTGTTCTGCTTCGCCGAAGCTCCTATTCCGCTTCTCTGCTGCGCCGCTGACCTGTTCTGCTGCGCCGCTGAGACCGGTTCTGCTGCGCCGCTGAACCTGTTCTGCTGCGCCGCTGACCTGTTCTGCTGCGCCGCTGAAACCTGTTCTGCTGCGCCGCTGAACTTGTTCTGCTGCGCCGCTGACCTGTTCTGCTGCGCCGCTGACCTGTTCTGTTGCGCCGCTGACACCTGTTCTGCTGCGCCGATGAAACCTGTTCTGCTGCGCCGCTGAAAACCTGTTCGAAGTTAAGAAATTGAGAAATTTTCCACAGAGAATTTTGAATTCCAGAAGCTTTCGATTAAGGAAGTTGAAGGCGGAAATTGTCGCCGTTGAAAACCGAAATGCGGGATGAAGGAAGGCGAAATGCGCTCTTGACCCGCGCGACGATGTGAAGTTAGAAAACGCTAAGCGTAGGAGCCGGGAGCCGAAATAGGCATAGCCTAGAGGAAGAGAACCATCGTGACGCCAAGGATCGGATTCCGCGTGAGCGGAATTTACTAGCTCGATACCATGATAGAATTGGAGCTGAACTGATTTATTAGTAAGAAAGGCACAAGGCCTTAAGTACAAACAAGGTTGGGTTGAGCAAAGCTAGGGATGGGATGGGATGGGAATCCTAGGCAAATCTCCAATGGTGAGTTGGCAGATTTGCTGGATTACGAGGGAATCCCAACCAGATAGGGTTGGGATCACAAACTACACCCAACCTACAAATAACCTACTCGATATAGGATATAGTACACAAAAGTGTTGACAGCCTATTTCTAACAGTGTGTTGTGCAGAGCAAGCAGTCAGGGTTGTACGATGAGAGCAGTTGGCAGTGCCAGCCAGCTACTGGTCAACAGCCCCTGCATACAAGGGAACTGTGTGACCGTCGTGCTATGGGGCATCACTCTGCATGCTTTCCCCGATGCAGTGCCCTTCTTCATCCCGACACAGACAACGGGTTTGTATGATCCGCGCAGATACATGTGTGTGCGTGTGTGTGCGTGGTGTGCGTGTGTGCGCGTGTGTGTGCGTGTGTGTGCGTGTGTGTGCGTGTGTGTGCGTGTGTTTGTGTGTGTGTGCGTGTGTGTGCGTGTGTGTCCGTGTGTGCGCGTGTGTGTGCGTGTGTGTGCGTGTGTGTGCGTGTTTGTGCGTGTGTGTGTGTGTGTGCGTGTGTGTGCGTGTGTGTGCGTGTGTGTGCGTGTGTGTGCGTGTGTGTGCGTGTGTGTGCGTGTGTGTGCGTGTGTGGGTGTCCCCATGAGCCTGAATTCTGCATCTCTCTTACGGTGTGTATGTGCAAACAGCTCCCCCGCCTGCAGCCAGTGCCAGCACCACAGCAACCGGCCTGTCAGCGGCAGCCATCGCTGGCATCGTGGCAGCAGCAGTCCTGCTGCTCATGCTGCTCATCGCCGCAGCTTGGTGGACCCTCACTCGCTCTCGCCGCGGCACGCCAGCCACAGGTCTCTCCCTTCTCACCTGCTGTTCCTGCACATCTTGAGTAGTCGTTTGATTTCCTGAGCAGAAATACTAGTGCGGAGTAGAAGGCCACAAGAAAGAAGCCCCCCTCTCTCCCTCCCTCCCTTCCTATTTCTCTCCCTCCCTTCGTATTTCTCTCCCTCCCTTCCCTATTTCTCTCCCTCCCTTCCTATTTGTCTCACTCCCTTCCCTATTTCTCTCCCTCCCTTCCCTATTTCTCTCCCTCTTTCCTGCCCTCCATGCCTTCACCCCTGTGCACCCCTGTGCATGTCTTCACCCCTGTGCACCCCTGTGCATGTCTTCACCCCTGTGCACCCCTGTGCATGTCTTCACCCCTCTGCACCCCTGTGCACCCCTTCACCCCTCTGCACCCCTGTGCACCCCTTCACCCCTCTGCATCCCTGTGCACCCCTTCACCCCTGTGCAGCTCCATGGGTTGCGGGCGCGCCCAGCAGCACCACGGCATTCCAGCAGTTCCCCCTCGACGCAGTCACGCGCGCCACCAGCGACTGGGCCACGGCCAACCTGCTGGGGGCGGGCAGCTTCGGCGACGTGTACAAGGGGGTGTCGCCCCTCGATGGCCGCACGCTGTGGGCCGTGAAGCGCGCCAAAGTCATCACCAGTGATTTCCAGCGGGAGGTGGGTTTGGGTGTGTGTTTGGTGTAGTGACGGATGAGAAGGTTGTTTAGAGGTGCGAAGAGAGGGGAGAGGGGGGCTGGGTGGGTGGGAGTCTCCCACTGGCGAGTCTTGCCGTTCATTTGTTTTGCAGCTTGTCGGCACTGTGTTTAGCAAATGATAGGAAGGTTAAAGATAATAGAAGAAATGAGAAGAGAAAGAAATAACTGAAAGAAATGGAGACAAAGGTATAAATTGCAGGGTACAGTATTCCACGGTGAAATGATTGATCTTGTTGTGTCTTGCGGCCTCCACGACCCTCTGCTGTGCAGGTGGCCCAGATGGCCACGAAGCACCACCCCAACTTGGTGCGCCTGCTGGGGTTCGCAGTGGGAGGCGACATGCACACGCGAGTGGAGAACGTGCTCGTCTACGAGTTCATTGCCAACGGGGACCTCCAGCGCTGGATGGGGCCAGGTGCAAGCAGCGGCAGGACTGACAAGGGCAGTAGCTCCACTGTTGCTTCATCCAGTGATCCTGTGGCTTCATATATGTGCATGCACACGGAATGGACCCCCTCGTTTGCACTCCTCTTCCCTCTTGCCTTGCACTGTGCTCCGGAATTGATTTCTAGTTCCGTCCCCATGATGCTTCCAGAAAAATGCCTTTCCTCATGTGTCCCCCTCTTGTCGACCGTCTGTCCCTTCTCCCAGACGCGCCCACACCGCTGACCCTGCAGCAGCGGCTGGACATTCTGGTGGGGGCGGCGCGTGGGGTGGAGTATCTGCACTCGTTTGGCATCGTGCATCGCGACATCAAGCCCGCCAATATCCTCCTCGATGCCCACATGCAGGTCAGTGCGCCATGCAGGTGAGTGCGCCATGCAGGTCAGTGCGCCATGCAGGTCAGTGCGCCGTGCGTGCGAGATGCTGTGTGTGGGAGGCATGGTGCAGGGAAGGTCTTGGATTCTCTGTGTTGGCTGAGCAATGCAACACCTGCCCATGTCCAAAGGTCGCGGCCACCCACCCTGTGGACCGCCTCTACTCTGAGCCAACGCAAGCACCAACCCCATCACTTACCACACATGACCTTTACTTGTTGTAATTTCATATTTCATACAACATACATAGGCTAGAAGTGTAGCACATTCATAAATTGGGGGGTTGCTTAGTGTACCCTCCAACCACATTTTGTGGTTGGTTGGGATTGGTCCTTAGCTCAACCAATCCCAACCAACACACATTTGTGGTTGCTTGGGTCACAAGCAAGCTCACCCATTGGCCAACTTATTGGCCAATAGGGTAAGCTTTCCTCTCATCTCTCTCTTGCTCATTGTTTGTACTAAAGAGCCTCTTGGCTCATTATTCAATGTATCAATTCTAGCTGTTTAACATGGTATCATGAGCTATTGGCTCACGCCTTGATCCCTCGGTCCTTAGGCCACCCTCTCCTCCCCGTCCCTCAGACGTAGTCCTACTACGGTGCTCCCAAGCTCAGATCTACCCCTCTCGAGCTCCGATCTTCTCCTCCCGAGCTCAGATCTACTCCTCCCGAGCTCACATCTCCTCCTCCCGAGCTCCGATCTACTCCTCCCCAGCTCAGATCTACTCCTCCCCAGCTCAGATCTACTCCTCCCCAGCTCAGATCTACTCCTCCCCAGCTCAGATCTACTCCTCCCCAGCTCAGATCTACTCCTCCCCAGCTCAGATCTACTCCTCCCCAGCTCAGATCTACTCCTCCCGAGCTCAGATCTACTCCTCCCGAGCTCAGATCTACTCCTCCCGAGCTCAGATCTACTCCTCCCCAGCTCAGATCTACTCCTCCCGAGCTCAGATCTACTCTTCCCGAGCTCAGATCTACTCCTCCCCAGCTCAGATCTACTCCTCCCGAGCTCAGATCTACTCCTCCCGAGCTCAGATCTACTCCTCCCCAGCTCAGATCTACTCCTCCCGAGCTCAGATCTACTCCTCCCCAGCTCAGATCTACTCCTCCCGAACTCAGATCTACTCCTCCCGAGCTCACATCTCCTCCTCCCGAGCTCAGATCTACTCCTCCCGCGCCCTGCTCTACTCCTCCTGCCCTCAGATCTGCGCATTTCGCGCTCAGATCTGCACATTCCGCACTCAGATCTACTCTCCCGCGCCCAAATCTGCATTCCGCGTGCTCAGATCTGCAACTCGCACGCCCTTGCTAGTCCGACCGCGCGCCCTGGTCGTCCGCGCCCTGCCCGTCCGCGCGCTCTGCTCGTCCGCCCTTCGCGTCCCCGCCCTGCCCGTCCGCACGCCCTGCTCGTCCGCGCCCTGCCCGTCCGCACGCCCTGCTCATCCGCCCTTCGCGTCCGCGCCCTGCCCGTCCGCGCGCCCTAGTCATCCGCACCCTGGCCGTCCGCGCGCCCTAGTCATCCGCACCCTGGCCGTCCGCGCGCCCTGTTCGTCTGCACGCCCTGCTCGTCCGCGCTCCGGTCGTCCACGCTCTCCCCGTCCGCGCACTCGTTGCACGCCCTCCTTCCCCGCTCGCTGTCCCCCTCCCCTCGTCCGCCCCCTGCCCACCTCCCTGGCATACAGCACATCTGCACGCGCATACAGCACATCTGACAGCACATACCGCACACCTGACAGCACATACCGCACACCTGACAGCACATACCGCACACCTGACAGCACATACCGCACACCTGACAACACATACCGCACACCTGTCAGCACATACCGCACACCTGTCAGCACATACCGCACACCTGGGAGCACATACAGCACACCCGCCTGCGCATACCGTCAGCTGCCTGCGCATACCGTCAGCTGCCTGCGCATACCGTCAGCTGCCTGCGCACACCTTCATGCCCTGCTCGCCTGTGCCATGCCGTGACCGCCCACACCCCACATTGCTTCCCCCATGGCAACAGTCGCACTGGCATGCATCAGCAGTGGTACCGGTGGGCATGGAGGAGGGCATAGTGGCAGCTGTGGTGGTGGTCAAGGGAGACTCGCAGGATATTGTGGTGTCAGGGGTTTGAGCGCAGGCTGCGGCGCAGCAGCAGCCTTCTCTCCTCGTGAATATGTGCCTCGCTATGGCCCGACTCGGGGACTTCAGTGTAAACTCTCCACCCAAGCCCACCATGCCCCGAGTCAACCCTTCTCTCTACCTCCTCCTCCTCCTCCTCCTCCTCCTCCTCCTCCTCCTCCTCCTCCTCCTCCTCCTCCTCCTCCTCCTCCTCCTCCTCCTCCTCCTCCTCCTCCTCCTCCTCCTCCTCCTCCTCCTCCTCCTCCTCCTCCTCCTCCTCCGCAGCAGCAGCAGCAACAGCAGCAACAGCAGCAGCAGCAGCAGCAGCAGCAGCAGCAGCAGCAGCAGCAGCAGCAGCAGCAGCAGCAACAACCGCAGCAACAGCAGCACCAGCAGCAGCTCTGGCACCTCCTCCTCCAGCTCCAGCAGTTGCTTCACCGCCTGCAGCAGCACCTTGACCTACAACCGCAGCTGCCTCTTCCTCCTCCTCCCCCAACTTCCCAGCAGAACTCAGTTCCGCATTGTTCCACAAGCTCCGCCACTTCAAGCATCGTCCCACCTTTCTCATCCGTTGGTATCGCTGGTATGGTCAATCAAGCCACATCAACTGCACCTGCCACATACTCCTCTACCACTAACGAAACTGCGTTCCAGTCCTCTGTCCCTTCCTCCTCCCTCTCCTCCACTGTCGATTTTGTCCTCGACAGCGGCGCCACTGACACAGTTCTTCGCGATGCTGGCACCTTGCGCCCCCTCCCAACGCCTACCTCCCTCCTTGGCGCCGACAGCAGCTTCTCTATCCCCTGCCATAACACCTCGACTCTCCCCTGCCCACTCTTCCCCTCAGGCACTGTCACCGGTCTCCACATACCCTCTCTTCGCGCTAATCTCCTTTCGCAAAGGTCCCTTCAGCAAGCCGGTATCACCACAGTATTCCCAGCTCATGCTAACTATTGCGCTCTCTACCATTCCGCCACCGGCCAGTTCCTTTCTCGCATTCCCTTTTGCCCTCGCTCCCGTCTGTACACCCTTCGGGTTCCTCGCCTCCCCTCCTGTCAGGTCATCTCTTGTCCCCCCCTCCACCCTCTCATCCCACCTCCTCCTCTCCCTCCCACTAACCCGGACCTCCCTTCCCGCCCTCCCCTTCACTCCTCCTGCTCCTGTCGCTCCCTCTCCCACCCTGCCGTCCTCCTCCATCACAGGCTAGGTCACCCTAACTTCGCTACTCTACGCTCCTCTGTTTCCACCGGTCTCCTCCACGGTCTCCCCTCCTCCCTCCCTCCCCTCCCCAAATCCCCTGCCCCCCCCTGCACCGTCTGCGTTCAGAGCAAGCTCAAGCAGCAGCCGCACCGGAGCTCCCCCTCCGCTGCTGCTCAGCCACTTGATCTTGTTCACATGGACCTCTGGGGCCCCAATCCCTCTCCCACTCGCCAGGGCCATCGATACCTCCTCGTACTCGTCGATGATCACAGTCGGTACTCGTCCGTCTCTCTCCTTCGGACGAAGGCAGATGCCCCGGCTGCGATCATCGCCTGGCTCGAGCGGGCAAATACCCATTTTGGGCGCCCTGTTCGCCGCCTTCACTCTGATGGTGGTGGTGAGTTCCTTAACAACCAAATATCCTCCTATTGTCAGTCTCATGGCATTCTTCAGACTTACACCCTCCCTCACTCCCCACAGCAGAACGGTGTGGCTGAAAGTCGTGTTCGAGAGATCACCAAAACTGCCCGGTGTCTTCTTGTCCACGCCTCCTGCCCTCCTTCTCTGTGGGGCTACGCCCTCCTTCATGCCGCCCTCCTTACTAACCTTTACCCTCACCCTCTTCTCCCATCCACCACCCCCACTGAGCTGTGGACGAACAACAAACCTGATGTCTCGTCTCTTCGTGTCTGGGGCTCAAAGGCTTATGTTCTCCTTGACCCCACTGACCGCTCCCGCTCTATGGGAAAGCTTGCCCCTCGTACCCTTCCCTGCATCTTTCTTGGTCATAACTCCTCCTCACCTGACTACCTTTTCCTCCATCCCCCCTCAGGTCGTCTATTCCGCAGTAGGGATGTGGTCTTTGATGAGTCCACTCCCTACTACTCCTCTCCCCCATCCACTGACCCACTCCCCCGTCTTCCCCGTCCCCTTGTCTGGTCTGACACCACCCCTCCCCCACTACTTCCTCCCCCCCCCATCCTCCCTCCCCCCCCCCCACCGTCGTCCCCATCCCGCGGTGCCCCTCCCTCGTCTGGTGATATATTTGACCCGGAACCTCTGTCCTCTCCCGTCTCCCCCACACATTCCTCTCCTAGTGCCCCTCCCGCCCCTCCTTCACCTCCCTCGCCGCCGACTCGTCCTTCCCCCCCTCCCCGCACCGTACTTACCCGGTACCCCCATACCAGGTCACGTGACAGTATCCTTGGTGCACCGCCCCCTGTTACCCTCTCTACCTCTACCCTCCCCCCACTCTCCCCTCTCCTTCACCACTTCTTCCAGGCTGTTCTGCATCAACCTCCTCCTGCAGCAGCCCCCTCTGCCACCTCTCCAGCAGCGGCGCCAGCAGCAGCGTCCGCAACGGCACCCGCAGCGGCACCAGCAGCAGGACCAGCAGCGACACCTGCAGCAGGACCAGCAGCGGCACCAGCAGCGGGACCAGCAGCGGGACCAGCAGCGGCACCAGCAGCGGCACCAGCAGCGGCACTAGCAGCGGCACCAGCAGCGGCACCAGCAGCGGCACCAGCAGCGGCACCAGCAGCGGCACCAGCAGCGGCACCAGCAGCGGCACCAGCAGCGGCACCAGCAGCGGCACCAGCAGCGGCACCAGCAGCGGCACCAGCAGCGGCACGTGCAGCGGCACCAGCGGCACCAACGGTCATCCGCTCCTTCCACACCTCCCTCTCCGAGGACTCACATGAGGAGTTCCTTGACCTCCACCTCTGTGACCCTTCCCTTCTACCCATCACCTTCGACCTTTCTGAGACACCAGTATTCGCATTCTCCTCTGCTCCCTCCGTTTTCATCCCTACCACGTATGAGGAGGCCATGGCTTGCCCCGACGCCCCACTCTGGCTCGCCGCCATTATCAAGGAGCTGGAGGCCTTTGTCGCCAACTCCTCCTTCGTTGATGTGCCTCGCCCTCCCTCCTCTACGAACGTGGTGAAAGGGAAGTGGGTGTTTCGCGTCAAACAGCTGCCAGGGGAGCCGCCCGTCTATAAGGCTCGTTACTGTGCCAAGGGGTTCACGCAGCGGTATGGTTTTGACTTCTTCGATACCTTCTCTCCCACTGCCAAGCCTGCTACTGTTCGCGCCGTGCTCGACCTCGCCGCTCGCCTCAATATGGAGATCCACTCGATGGACGTCTCTAACGCTTTCCTCCAAGGCGTCCTCCGCGAGCTTATCTACATGGAGCGTCCAGCCGGTTTTCACCTTCCCTTCCCTGCAGACTCTGTCTGGCAGCTGCGTCGCCCTGTGTATGGGCTTCGACAGGCCCCGAGGGAGTGGCATGCTAAGCTTGCCGCCACCCTTGCTGAACTTGGGTTCCGCACCTCCCGCTCTGACGCCAGCCTCTTCCTCCGCACCTGCCCCTCCCCGTTCTACATCCTTGTGTATGTCGATGACATGATTCTGCTCACTGCCGACCTTGGCGAATTGGAGCGTGTTAAGGCTGAGTTGGGCAGCCGTCTCAAATGCAAGGACTTGGGCGAGCTGCAGCATTACCTGGGCATGACCATCACCCGCGACCGCTCCGCCCGCACCATCTCTCTCTCCCAGGGTCATTACTTGCAGCAGGTCTTGGAGCGGTTTGACATGGTCCGCGGTGGCGCCCAACCTACTCCTCTTTCTGTCGGGCACCACCTCTCTCCACCCACCTCCCCCTCAGCCTCCTCCCATCCTTATCCCGAGCTCATCGGCTCCCTCATGTACGCCATGGTCTCCACTCGCCCTGACCTTGCCTACCCCATCAGCGTCCTCGCTCGTTTTGTTGGCGCAGGCAAGCATACGGAAGAGCACTGGCAGGCCGCCAAGCGTGTCCTCCGGTACCTTCGTGGCACCAAGGACTATGTCCTTACCCTTGGCGGCCCCTCCCCACCTCTCCTCAGCGGCTACAGTGACTCCTCTTGGGCTGATTCCCGGCCAGATCGTCGCTCCTCCCAGGGCTATGGCTTCTCTCTTGGCAGCGGCCTTATCAGCTGGCGCTCCACCCGCTCCTCGGCTGCAGCCCTCTCCTCCTGCGAGGCGGAATTGTATGCCGCCACCATGGCTGCGCAAGAGGCCCGCTGGCTCACCTTCCTTCTTGAGGAACTTGGTGCCCCCCAGCGCTGTCCCACAATTTGGTGTGACAATGCTAGTACCATTCACCTCACCAAAGATGCTGTGTTTCACGGGCGCTCCAAGCACATTGAGCTCCGTCATTTCTTCATTCGCGATCTTGTTCAGGCGGGGCACCTTCGCCTCGACAAGGTTGACTCGGCGGCCAACCTTGCCGACATCTTCACAAAAGCTCTTCCTCATGCCGCTCACTCTTTCCTACTTCGTCTTCTTGGCCTCACTCCTCCTAAGTCGCCTCCCGCCTCTTGACTCTAGCCTTCTAGCCTTATGCATGTTGGGGGGTTGTGTTGTAATTTCATATTTCATACAACATACATAGGCTAGAAGTGTAGCACATTCATAAATTGGGGGGTTGCTTAGTGTACCCTCCAACCACATTTTGTGGTTGGTTGGGATTGGTCCTTAGCTCAACCAATCCCAACCAACACACATTTGTGGTTGCTTGGGTCACAAGCAAGCTCACCCATTGGCCAACTTATTGGCCAATAGGGTAAGCTTTCCTCTCATCTCTCTCTTGCTCATTGTTTGTACTAAAGAGCCTCTTGGCTCATTATTCAATGTATCAATTCTAGCTGTTTAACATTACTTACCACACATGACCATCACTTACCACACATGACCATCACTTAACACACATGACCATCACTTACCACACATGACCTTTACTTACCACACATGACCATCACTTACCACACATGACCATCACTTACCACACATGACCTTTACTTACCACACATGACCATCACTTATCACACATGACCATCACTTACCACACATGACCTTTACTTACCACACATGACCATCACTTACCACACATGACCATCACTTACCACACATGACCATCACTTCCACATGACCATCACTACATGACCATCACTTACCACATGACCATCACTTACCACACATGACCATCACTTACCACACATGACCATCACTTACCACACATGACCATCACTTACCACACATGACCATCACTTACCACACATGACCATCACTTACCACACATGACCATCACTTACCACACATGACCATCACTTACCACACATGACCATCACTTACCACACATGACCATCACTTACCACACATGACCATCACTTACCACACATGACCATCACTTACCACACATGACCATCACTTACCACACATGACCATCACTTACCACACATGACCATCACTTACCACACATGACCATCACTTACCACACATGACCATCACTTACCACACATGACCATCACTTACCACACATGACCATCACTTACCACACATGACCATCACTTACCACACATGACCATCACTTACCACACATGACCATCACTTACCACACATGACCATCACTTACCACACATGACCATCACTTACCACACATGACCATCACTTACCACACATGACCATCACTTACCACACATGACCATCACTTACCACACATGACCATCACTTACCACACATGACCATCACTTACCACACATGACCATCACTTACCACACATGACCATCACTTACCACACATGACCATCACTTACCACACATGGCCGTTGTGGCTTTGAGAATCTCCCTCCTCTCTCTCCTCTTCTGCTCTCTCGGCCATCAGCCCAAGGTGGCTGACTTTGGGCTCGTGCGAGGTGGGGAGGGCACGGCCATGGGGTCGACGAGGGTGATGGGCACCGTGGGCTATGTGGACCCCGCTTACACCAGGACGCACACCACCACCACCGCCACCGACCTCTTCAGGTGCTTGCATATGGATATGCATGTGCTTGTGCATGTGCATGTGCATGTGCTTGTGCATGTGCATGTGCTTGTGCATGTGCTTGTGCTTGTGCATGTGCTTCCACGTTTCTTCAGACTGTGCATGTTCGTGTGTGTCAGTATCGCCTTTCTGTCCACTGACCCGGAGTCCAGTCGCAGTGTGTTCAATGTCGCTCCACCTCCATGCCTCCGTTGCTTTATTCCCTGCCACGTCTCCTCCCCACAATCCCTGTGACTCGACACTCCCCCGTCGTTGTGTTTCTGTACCTCGTGTGTGTGCAGCTTCGGTGTGTTGATGCTGACAGTGCTGTCGGGGAGAGCAGCCGTCATCACGGAGGCGAAGGAGGGCGATGGCCCCAGGCACCCGCATGAGGACCGCGAGCCCACCACCATTATCCAATGGGTGTGTGCTTGTGTGCACTCGTGTGTGTGCACTCGCTTGTGCGCTTGCTGTGTGTGTGCACCTCTACATTTGCCTCGATTTGAGTCAAGCCACGACCCACCATCATTTTCCAATGGGTGCCTTTGTGTGCCCCTGTCGTGTCGTCCCATCGTTCCCATCCTCTCTTTCTTCCAAGCTCTACCTGTGGCAGCTTCACACGTCGCCCTTCGGACATTATGCTCTCTCCCTTATGCTTGTTTGCTACTTATCCTATGCCCTTCTCCCAACATCCTCCATGCTTCCCCTCCAACTTCTCCTCCACCCATCCAATTCCCTTCGACACTCTTTCCCCCCACACCTTTCTCCCTCTCCCCCCCCAACGCCCTCTGCTATAGGCGAGCGAGCTGCTGGCAGCAGGGAAGGCATGGAGTGTGGGGGATGCGCGCATGGCGGCACCTGAGGCCATCGTCACACGCGTCGCCCAGCTGGCCATCAGCTGCACTGCCATGCCCACCGCCTCACGCCCCCCCATGTCCCAAGTAGCCCAACACCTGGAGGCAATGAGGGCAGAGCTGGGAGGAGGTGTTGCGAGTGCCTCGGGTGCAGAGATAGTGGATTCGATGATTGAGAGTGACAAGCTGGAGAGGACCATGGACGAGGATCTGGAGCTGCTCAACTCACAGTTCTCATAGTAGCGAGACAACGGCCGGACGTGAGCGCCTCAGCCACGCGATGAGGATGGCGTGGTGTGGTGAGCGAGCACCTGCTTTGTTACCACATCATTCTCTGGTGAAGCCTTCACAGCACTGGCCGCCCGGTGAGATGTACCGTGGTCCCGGATATAGGCACATCCGAATGTGAGTCATGACTGCAGAGTAGAGACACTGCAGTGGATGTGAGTCATGAGAGCCTCAACCATGGAATGACGATGGTGTGGTGTGGAGAACGTGCGCCTTCTTTGGGCGGATTCCCTGGAGCATATTACTGGCGCTCACGAGGTGCTGTGACCTGCTAGTTGAGACTTACCCTGAGCACAGTGAGGCTTTGTCTCAATTGGTTGTTCATGTATTTGTCAAACTTATATTGTAATCTGTTGTTAGGCTATAGTGGGGCTAGCCTTATGGGGTACACAACTTTAGGGTTTCCTACTTGTACCACCATTCTCTTTGTTCAATCATTCACTTCTTGACATGGTTTCAGAGTACCAGGTCCCGGTTAGGACCGTTTTTTTTAAGGCCCACCGTCAGTTCCGCTTGTTCCTGCCCGTAGCGCCCTTGCGCTGTCCTGCCCTACCCGAAGAGAGTCGCGCTGCCCTGCTGCCACGCACTCTGCCTGCCCTAGCGCGCTGCCTGCTGCACGCGCTGCTTGCTTTAGCGCGTCGCGCTGCCCTGCTCGCGCTGCCTGCAAGCGCGCTGCCCGTGCTCGCTGCGCGCCCTGCCTGCACGCTGCGCTGCTGCTTGCGCGCTGCCCCTGCCGCTCGCGCGCTGCATTTGCTGCCCGCGCGCTGCTCGCCCTGCCCGCGAACTGCCAGCGCGCTGCTGCGCCTGAGCTACTGCTGCCGCACGCGCTGCTGCGCTGTGCCCTGCCAACCGCGCTGCCGCGCGCTGCTGCTGCTGCTGCTGCATACGCTGCTGCTGCTGCTGCGCAGCTCCTGCCCACCGCGCTGCTGCTGCTGCGCTGCTGCGCTTGAGCTGCTGCTGCGCCTGAGCTGCTGCTGCCGCTCGCACTGTGCTGCTGCTGCTGCTGCGCCTGAGCTGCTGCTGCTGCACGCGCTGCTGCGCTGAGCCGTGCCGCGCCGCGCCGCCCTGCCCGAGCCGCGCCGCCCTGCCCGAGCCGCGCCGCCCTGCCCGAGCCGCGCCGCCCTGCCCGAGCCGCGCTGCCCTGCCCCTACAGAGCTGCACTGCCTTACTGCTGCTACTGCTGCTACTACCGTTCTGCTGCTATGGCGACCCCTACTGTTCTCACCTTTGACGGAGAGGGTCACCCGGTAGACTTCGAATCCTGGTTAGAGGATCTCTACTGGTACCTGCAGAGCCAGACTAGGGAGGATGTCTCGCTTTTTTTGCATACCTCTGGGACCCTAGACGCCCCTACTGCCACAGCTACTCGTGTAGACCAGTCCAGGTGGGCGTCTCGTGACGCTACTGCCGCTCTTTCTATCCGTAGCCACCTTCCGCTAGACCAGCGCTCTCACTTTCGCCAGCTTAAGACGGCCAAGGCGCTTTACGACGCTGTAGTCACACGCTGCTCATCCCCGTCGTCTGCCATTGTAGGCCGTCTAGCGCTGCGGTTCCTCTTTCCCGAGCTGTCGGACTTCACCACTGTAGCCGACTTCATGACTCACCTGCGCTCCCTTGAGACCCGCTACACTGCCGCCCTCGAGCCCACCTTTAGGGCTGAGAACAAGCCACCTATTTACCTCACCCTTTACTTTCTCACGACCCGCCTCCCTGACTCCCTTCGTGCTGTACGCGACCACTTCCTCGCCCTAGACCCCACGAAGATCACCCTCGACACGTTCGAGTCCCGTCTCTTAAAGGCGGAGTCCGCTGCCCTAGCTGTCGCTGCCTCTCGTGGCACTCCCCACCCCTCTGTCTTTGAGGGGTGCTCCCCCTCCCTGCTCGCGTCGTCTGTTGCCTCTGCTGCTGCTGTTGACCTCTTCGGTGATGAGGAGGTCGGTGTTGCTTCTGCTCCTAGAGGGAAGCGCCGCAGCGGCAAGGGCAAGGGTGGCAAGGGTGGGGGTGGCGAGGGTGGTGGGGGTGGCGGGGGCAATTGTAGTGGCGATGGAGGTGGTGGGGGAGGAGGAGGTGGAGGCGGCAGGGGAGGAGGCGGGGGTGGAGGGAGCAGTGGGGGTGGTGGAGGGGGTGGGGGTGGCACTAGGGGCGGAGCTGGAGGAGGAGGGGCTGGAGGTCCGGCCACTCGTTCAGCTGCGTCTGGAGGTGCAGCGGGGGGTGGAGGTGGCTCTGGGGGTGGCCAGCAGCAGCAGACGAGCCGCCAGGCGCAGCTCTCGCCGCAGCTCTCGTCCCTGTCACACTGGCCGACCCCTCCGGAGGCCCGGTAGTCGCGCGTGGCGCCACAGTTCTCCCTTGTCCAGCAGCCCCTTCTGGCCTCCTCACAGGTCTCCACCTCCCCTCGTTCGCTAAGAACTTGGTGGCTACCTCTGTCCTCCAGGACCAGTGGGTCACTGTCACCCAGCCAAGAGGCGAGCTAGTGGCGATCTGTACGGACTCGCGCACTGGTGAGCACCTCGCCACGTTCACTCGGACGCCTGGGTCTGGCCTGTACACACTGACCACTGAGTCTGCACTGGTAGCTGAGTCAGGTCAGGTAGCTGCGTCGGTTGAGGTCGCTTCGTCTTGTTCGTGTCGTCTCCTCACGCACCAGACTCTCCTCTGACACCACCGTCTTGGCCACCCCTCCTTGCCACGCCTGCATGGCATGCACTCCCGTCTCCTTGTATCTGGTCTCCCCAGGTCCCTGCCCCCGCTTCCGAGGTCGCTTGCACCGCCCTGCCTTCCCTGCGTCGAGGGGCGGCAGCGCGCCGCTCCTTACTCCTCCTCGTTTCCTCCTACCACTGCTCCTCTGTAGACCCTGCACATGGACGTGTGGGGCCCCGCCCGCGTCACTGGACAGGGTGGCGAGCGCTACTTTCTGCTGGTTGTCGACGACTACACGCGCTACACCACGGTCTTCCCCTTGCAGAGCAAGGCGTGTCCGAGGTGTCTTGATCCGCTGGATCCACGCTGTCCGTCTCCAGATTCGCGCTCGGTTCCAGCAGGATCTCCCAGTCCTGCGGCTGCACTCTGACCGAGGTGGTGAGTTTTGCTCCCACCTCCTTGAGGAATTCTGTGGTGCTGAGGGCATCGTCCAGTCGTACACGCTTCCGGCCTCTCCACAGCAGAATGGGATTGCCGAGCGCCGCATTGGTCTTGTCATGGAGGTTGCTCGCACCTCCATGATCCATGCGGCTGCTCCCCATTTACTGTGGCCGTTTGCAGTCTGATACGCCGTTGAGCAGCTCAGCCGCTGGCCCCGTGTCTCCCACCCAGAGACCTCCCCCACTTTGCGGTGGACGGGCGAGGTTGGTGATGCGTCGGCGTTTCGGGTCTGGGGTTCCCTCTCTCTTGTCCGCGATTTGCCTGCGGGCATGCTCTCTCCATGCACTCTTCGGTGCGTGTTCCTTGGCTTTCCCACCGACGCACCGCCCAGGCAGTTTTACCACATAGGCTCTGGTCGTGTGCTGTCCTCCCGCGACGTCACCTTTGACGAGTCGGTCTGCTTCTACCGTCTTCACCCCCACCGCAGTTCCCCGGTACCCCTCCCGCCTCTCTCCCTCGTGGACGACCCCCCCCCGGTAGCCCCCCTCCCTCCTCCCGGTCCCGCTCCCTCAGGTGTGTCTCAGGTAGACCCACCCCCCTTGGTTGAGCCTTTGGAGGTCTCCTCAGACACCTCTGGCCCAGATGAGGGGGGTGACCCGACTCCTGCTACCACTGTGACCCCTCGCCGCTCTGCACGCTTGACGGTCCCTCCTGGGTTTCAGCCTCGACCGTCTTCACCGCCGCTGCAGCCTGTCGCTGTGGACTCTGGTGCTGCAGGAGGTGGTACCACTGGAGGTGCTGGTTCTGGGGGTGCTGAGTGTCCTCTGGGTACAGGAGGTACTGGAGGTACTGGTGCTGGTGGTCCTGCTACGAGTCGGCAGGAGGCTCTCTCGCCGGAGCGGCTTCGCGAGTGGGCTGTCCAGTGGGGCAGCCCTGGTGGTGGAGCTAGCCGTCTTAGAGAGGGAGGTGCTGGGACTGCTGGAGCTGGAGGTACTGGCACTGCTGGAGCTGGAGGGTCTGCTACTGGTGGTCCTGGGGTTGCTCGTGCTGGTAGCACTGGTGCACGTCGGCAGCACAGCGCGACTACGAGCTGCACTCCCTCGACTTCTCGACAGCGTTCTTGCAGGGTAGCCTTCACGAGGCTATCTGGTTGTGCCGTCCACGTGGCTTCACTGGGTCGTTTCCTAAGAGTACCCAGTGGAGTCTTCGGCGACCAGTCTACGGCCTCCGACAGGCACCCCGCGAGTGGCACGACACACTGAGGACTACACTTGCGGCTCTTGGCTTCGCTCCCTCGACTGCTGACCCTTCGCTGTTTCTGCCCACAGACACTTCTACGTTCTTGTGTACGTTGACGACTTGGTTTTTGCTACTGCTGACACTGAGGCTCTGGCCTTGGTGAAGGCGGAGCTGCAGGAGAGACACACTTGCACTGACATGGGTGAGCTGCGGAGCTATCTTGGCTTGCAGATCACCCGGGACAGAGCACGCCGCACCATCACTCTCACTCAGTCACACATGGTGCAGCAGGTCCTTCAGCGCTTCGACTTCACGTGGTCCTCGCCACAGCCCACTCCTCTGTCTACCGGCCACTCACTCTCAGCTCCACCTTCGGACGAGTCCGTAGAGCCGAGCGGTCCGTACCCAGAGCTTGTGGGTTGCCTCATGTACCTGATGACGTGCACACGACCTGACCTCGCGTACCCTCTCAGCCTCCTGGCTCGCTACGTGGCTCCCGGTAGACATCGAAAGATGCACTGGGATGCTGCGAAGAGGGTATTGGGTTACTTGTGCAGCACATCGGGCATGGGGCTCGTGCTTGGAGGACCGGGTTCAGTTGTTCTCACCGGTCACTCAGACGCGTCTTGGGCTGA